GGAAGGGCATTAGACTACACAGCACGGGCCGTTCTCCTCCTCTTCCGGCGGATTGTGGCTGCGTGCTTGACCGCCTCTGTAGTATCTGTAGTTAACTCGGCCAACACAGGCGGAGAGGCAGTGATCTTGGTCATCTCAGCAGAGACAGGAATTGGCCCGGCAGATGGTGACAAATCGGGAACAGACCTTATAGACTGAGGGACAACATTTGACTTGACTGATTCTTGAATAACAGGAGTGCACTCAGTTAAATATGTGGATGACTTAGCAGACTCAGAAATGCCTGGTGCAAACTTCATTGACTGAGTGATGACTGTGGTTGACAACTTGCTCCTGGATAATGGTAGTGAAGGTGACTGATTCAGGGATGACAGAAGTTGACTCTGACTTAGAATTTACTGGAACTGACTGGATAGCGGCCAACTCGGCCATCTTGGAAATGACAGGAGCAGGGTTGACTGGCTCTGGAATGACAGGGACAGGTTTAACTGGGTCAAGAATGACTGGATCAGGCTTGACTGGCTCTGGAGTGACTGGAGTGGACTTGACTGGCGTGGACTTGACTGGGTCAAGAATGACTGGATCAGGCTTGACTGGCTCTGGAGTGACTGGAATGGGCTTGACTGGCTCCGGAGTGACTGGAGTGGGCTTGACTGGAATAGAGATATCAGCAGCGCTCGTAACTATCTCTGGGAAAGCTGAGGTTGATTCAACAGACTCAAAAATAACTGGGACTGACTTGTATGTCTGGGTAGGATGACATCAGTTGACTTGACTGTTTCAGGGGAAACATGAGCGATCTCAGTAGACACAGGGGTGACTGGGAAGGTATCAGAGTCATAAATGGATGCAGCAGACTCTAGTGCCCTCTTCTTTCTTGCCCGTTGCTTCTGAGTAGGAGTCAGAAGAGGATCTAAGTCTTGACTTGACAAGGGAAGTGGGGCAGTGTGGTCGCTGCATGCTGGCTGAGGTGATGGAGGCATTCCCCACTGGATGTGTTGACCAAGATGCCTGGAAAAGTCTAATTTTGAGGTTATCCATCTCCCAGTTAGGCACAGGATCGTCCAAGCAGGCATTGAAAATGTCCTTGAGGGTGGAATCATCATAATCAAGCCCCCTTGACATCGTCCAGAAAAACTGGATAAATGCGCCTATCTCCCAGCCCTGTTGGCGAAGGTTAGCCAGACCTTGATGGCGAGCCAGTCTCTCCCGGGAATTACCAGGTGGCTGAACAAGAGGTGACTTTCCCATTCATGTGTCCAAACATTTGACTGGTACTATATATAGAATACAGTATATACATAAACAGAATATATATATATACATAAACACATTGTTTGCAATGATCACTCAAATGTGGTGATCAAACACTTATAATGATGTGACAAAGATATGTAATGTGATGGAGGCAGGGCATTTAACAAAATGAGTCTGACATCAGTGCACTGAACAGTAAAGTTGAAGTTTATTCAACTTTAATTAAATTCCATTCAGCTTTTTTCCGTTGAAGTTTATTTCACTTTTAAACATTCATTCACGGATTTGCGCTACTGTCTTCACACACAGACTAAACTTACTATAGAAGTGTGAAGTGTGACAATTTACCTCTGTAAATAAACACTTCAATGCCCTTTGAATGTAACGTGTACGTTCCCTTGGAACTGGAATCATGGCGGAATATCATGTGAAGTCCACTTCGCAGGGCACTTACGGTCGAATAAGACAACGCTTGAATGCTGCTGCCTGAACAAGAGACCTCCTTACTAAAGTGAAAGTGTTGGCTGGTGTCACCATCTCGCGAACGCGCCGGCGGATCTCCACCAAATCCCGGGGGATCCCTTCAGCTCGAGGAGCCCTCTCGAACGCCACCCTCCACATGTCGGTAGCCCCCCGGGATTGCTAGATTGGTCGGCGCCGGACCGCAAATTTAACTGCCCGTAACTCCCGAACCCCAGGGGCTATCGACACGGGGGTGGTCTCATTCGAAAGAGGGCCTCTAGACGTACATTCGATCCACGTTCGAGAGGGTTCCTCGAGCTGAAGGGATCCCCCGAATTTGGTGCGGATCCGCCGCGCCGTTACGGAGATATGGCCGTTCAAAGTTTCAATGGTTTTCCATAGACTTAAGCTTTAAAGCATTTCATCCAGGTCGCCAGTAGCAAACAATGGAGCGCGCTCTGCAAGACAAAATAAGTAATTACACCATTTCAAGCATTTTATCTGCGTTATATGTTCTGTAAAAAAAAATTTCATATCGGCGGCATATTTGCCGATACCGATATATCGGCGACAGAGTCATATCGGCCGATAATATCGGCTAAACTATATATCGGTCGGGCTCTAGTTATAATGCAATAAAATATCGGCTAGTGGAAGCAAGTCGTTTACAGTAATAACATTATTGCAGCGTTTGACTAGAATATAACATTTACATCTCATTCACTATTACAATCAAATAAGAAATCAAGTCACGTTTCCAAAGTAATTCTATGAGAAAAAACAGCGAACACAACAAGGAAACAACATTATTACATCCATCAAATAAGACCTCAGCTGGTCTCTGATGAAAATGTACCATGTTTTTACTACAATATAGTTTAACGAAGGCATTTATAATTAAACCATAGTAGCCACAAATTTACCTTTGTCTGTGACTACATGAAATATACTTTAACATCATAAACCATAAAATGTAATATACTTTTACTGTAATAAAACCATGGTTCATTTTCATAGGTAAACACGGGTCACAAGTTAACACGGGCACATTCTCGATTTAGCCAACTGAATAAAATTCTGACTTCAATCCAAAAATCTGCGGCTGAATCAGTGAAGTCAGATAGCTCTGTGCGTACGTTACTGTCGTCACACAAAGCACCTCATTTTAGCACGCGTTCAAAACCCATGCCAAGCAGACTTTTTAATTGATTTTTCGTCCTTCAGCCGTTACGGGCGATCATACCAATAAATTGTAATCTTTACAAGAATACCAAAATGAGCAACGAGCAATGTCTGCGTTTATTAGACAGCTTACTATCACGTGTTTGTGCTTTCAGAATCTGCGAATCTGCTGCGGTCGTTCCATCACATCTGGAGCGGAGGACCTGAAACCGGAAGAAGGTCACCTGATAACACGGTCACCAGTTAATAGTAACACCGGGAGAGAAGAATTTGTTGAATAAAGTCACTATTTTTGTTCTCTTCATGCACAAAAACTATTCTCGTAGCTTCATCACATTACGGTTGAACCACTGATGTCACATGGACTATTTAATATGTTTCTGTACCTTGAACGTGATAGGACCCTTGCTGTTTATGCAGGGTCAAAAAACTCTCGGATTTATATCTCGGAAAATATCTTAATTTGTGTTCCGATGATTAACGATGGTCTTGGAATGACATGAGGGTGAGTAATTAATGGGAGAATTTTCTTTTTTGGGTGAACTATCCTTTTAAGTCTGTACCATAATTGTCAGCGTTACTTCTCTGAATGATGTTACAATGCGTTTATTTTTCTTTATGTTCTGATTGAGCTACATCTATTTCAGATGCACAAATTCTGTGACGTTTTACAGTTTCCATAGGAGTAAAATGTTATGTATATATTCATTATTAATTTAACCAACATTTAAATCATCAACTGCTTCCAAATCCATGCTGTTAATAATAAAATAATTCTTGAAACATTTGCAGTTACAAATAAAAACAATATAACAACAATTACATAAACGGTGAATTAAGCTATATGTGCACAAATACATTTTATTTATTCAGATTTCAGAATAAGCACTTTCTCATTTGTAATACATTTGTTGAGGATCTCGTCCATCTGATGTTCATCATGTTCATAAGATATTTGCTACTGTAATGAATATGATACTTATTTTTTATTTAATAGGCAGGGGAAATTCCCAACATTAAACAAATAACCTTTTACATGCAGGATATTTGCGTTGTAAGAATGTACAGGAATACTTCAGATATAAAACCACTGACTCGTTAGGTGATGTTTTCTCATTGAAATCGTACGATTTACTCTTAATTCAATATAGAATGTATGGGGATACTAGGGAATAGCAGTACCTGTTCTCTATTATAGATCAGTGGTGTAAACTTATAATAATGGATTACTACGGTCACGTGGATTTAACAGACACACGCATGTCCTCAAGACACTTCAGATTTTCTCTAATATACCGCCATAATTTACCTCAAACATCTCGTTTTCATAATCCTCGGAAGTCAAACTCAATCGAAAATAAAATTAGATTAATCAGACCTAAAGTACAAGAGAGATCTCGCTTCTGGATTGCAAAATAACGAAAATGCATCAGTGACGAATATCTTGATATTATCGCATGTAGAAACGGTTGGCAAGATACCGTTATCTTGATAATATTTATGTAGCAATAATACATTGTAAGCGTATTTCCTTAATTTCCCCAGCACCATAAGCAGAACATTTAACATTAGAGCTTATCAATACTACAGTTTATCATAATTCAGCCCCAGGCCCATTTAATACCGGGTTCAGGTATTCATTCCTACTTACAAGAGAAGCAAAGAAAGATCAGTTACAAAGCTACATGACAGTATTTCTTGCATCTGCGTTTCCTAAATACATCTTAAGTGGAAGAATAACGCAGTCATTTTAAAAACAACAATGAAGAACAAATTAAAATTAAATCTCAGTCTCTCTTAAATGTATTACAGCCTCTTCTCCAGTTTCCTGAAAAAATAACTGTTTGTAAAAAGCTTCTACTTTCCTTCATGAAAGAGTAAGCAAACTACAGGTGGTTACACATGCACTATAAGACTATTGAACATAATATGAAACTTATAAGAAAGACCAATTATATGCAAGAATACACCTTTCTGACATTGTTCTTTGGGGAGGAACTCCATCTTTGAGTTGAGCTGAATCTCACAGTTGAATCTGCTGGTTTTGAAGATGAACTTCATTCACTGTGAAATTTAGATAATGTTTCTTTGTCATGTCGCTTGTAATGACTGGTTAGGACAGATTTATCCAGATGATATTTTATTGCTTGATGTATTATTGTATCTCATTTGGTGAGGACGCAGCATCAGACCTGAAAGTGCTGATCTGAAGATGATCTACTTACAGTGATTGTTTTTTGTATGTCTGTGTAGAGAAGATAATTGAATGAAACGCATCCCACATGCAGTGCATTGATACGGTTTCTCTCCAGTGTGGATCCTCTCGTGTTTATTGAGGTCTCCTGACTGACTGAATCTCTTGTCACAGTGTGAACACTTGTAAGGTTTTTCTCCAGTGTGGATCCTCTCGTGTCTTTTCAGATGTGCTGCCTGACTGAATCTCTTGTCACATTGTGAACACTTGTAAGGTTTCTCTCCAGTGTGAATCATCTCATGCAGTTTTAAAGTGTTTGCTGAAGTAAAAGTCTTCTCACACTCAAAGCACATGTACTCTCCCACACCAGTGTGTGTTTTCTGATGTACTTTTAAACTTTGTAGACATGAAAAACTCTTTCCACACAAACAACATGAATGCGGCTTCTCATTTGTATGAATTCTCATGTGTTTCATCAGGTATAGTGCCCTCAAAAATGTTTTGCCACATTGATCACATGTGTACAGCTTCTCTGCCGTGTGGATCATCATGTGATCCTTAAGATGTGCTGATTGTGTCAAACTCTTCCCGCACTGATCACAAGTGAACGGTTTCTCTCCAGTATGAACGCGCATGTGCCTCTTAAGGTGTCCTTTTCGTGTGAAGCTCTTTCCGCACTGATCACATGTGTACGGTTTCTCGCCAGAGTGGATCCTCTCGTGTCTTTTCAGGTGTCCTGAATAAATGAATCTCTTGTCACAGTGTGAACACTTGTACGGTTTCTCTCCAGTATGAACTCTCATGTGAACATTAAGACTATGTTTGCTTGTCAAACTCTTTCCACACTGAGTGCAGGTGAGAGATGTCTTGGCTCTTCTTTTCTTTAAATCTTTCTGTTTGGTTTGAGAGCAACTCCAAGGTTTTTCTCTTGTTTTTATATGATGTTTCTCCTCAACGTCACTCAATTCTTCATTCTCCTCATTTCCTTGTAGCGTTACACCTGATAAAACAATTCAATATATGCAATCTGAATTTAATAATAATATTTATTTTGTGGTTACACTGCCCGTGGGGAGCTCTGACACAGAAAAGCACTATAGATATGTAAGAGAAAGCCGTAAAATGTTCTTGAATGGATGCCTAATCTGTCTGCTGCACTAGAGCAAGCTCTTTAGAGTGAAGGAAAACTGTTAAAGCATATATGGCGCATAATGTGATTAAAATCACACTTAACATAATTACTGCTGTGGGGATTCGGATTGGATTATTATGAGCAAACAAATGTAAAAGTTTAATCTGAACGCACTTCATAATCTGACATCTTTTTTTTTTTTTTACAGAAATTCTGAACTGCATGAACTCGTGCATGAACATTCATCAAACACGTAAGGTGCAAATTCTGGGTCTGGTCCTAATCCTAATGCTTAAGATTTAACAATTACCTTACAATATATATTTATACATATTTTCCTATATTTCAAGACTGCAATTTGGAAAAACCTTAAGGCTAATGCTGCTGAAATGGAGGTCAAGGGGACCATGAAGAGGCGACTCCAACTGGCAGATCATACCGTTTTTCAGGAGGCAGGCACACTGTGAATTTAAAAGTCCCATCTCTTTAACCCTGCATACACATGACACTAGTGCTGGGCGGTATACCGGTTCATACCGAATACCGGTGTTTATTTTTGTTATGACCGCCCACTCTAAAGCGATACTAAACTGCAGTGGAAACGCGAACCGAGCCGTGCCATGCCATACTGAGCCGTGCCGAGCCGAGTCATACCACGCAGTGGAATAGCGCCATAAGATCAGATCTGACGAATTTGTGTCCGTGAGACTGCGTAAAAAAAGTTATTATATTATAATAATATACTATTATTCCGAACATCCCGTACTTTCAATTATTCGTTCACTAGGGACCATGGTTACATAAGTAACCTGAGACGTTCCCTTTCATGGGAACTTCGAACTGCGTCCGCTAGGGGTCGCTATGGGGAATGGTATACCCACGCCACCATGCTGAGGGGAGCGCATGCCAGAACCATGGCGAGCACTAAGTACCAACTCTACCATATTGCTATGGGAGTCGCCCCTGGGACTGGTTCACTCATGTCCTCTTCACTCTCCTCTTTAACAAACACCATCTTCACAGCAGCAGATCTCAGTTCAGATGATACTCCTCCAGATATTCCTGCTTACTAGAAAACTTAGTCACGACTGTGAGGATGAGAATCACAGGTATTTACTGACCTGATTCAAAAATGGTATTTTTCTATTTAGAAGGTGCATTTCTAACAGTTTGTATTAAACCAGCATGAAGACAAAACAACAGAGCTCATGGAGAAACGAAGCTTCTTCCTCTGGGGTTTAATGGTGTTTGGTGAACAATCGTATGTGTTTTAGCGCCACCCGCTGGACTGGAGTGTGAAGCATCAAGAAAACAATATGCAAAATTACTTAGTGCGTGTACAAGGTGCGCTGTGTTTTCCTTTAAAAAAGCCGATCAGCACAAATAAATGAAAATAACTTATAAAAATTATAGACTCACATGGTATTTGATCAGCATCAACAGTTTCACACAACATTGCAGCATGTAAATTAAGATCAATGAAAACACATGATAATGATCAGATGTAGCCTAATTAAAAAATAATAATAATAAAAGAAAAATCTAAATCAGAGTATTGGACAGGTTTAGCATGAAACACAACATCGTTAGGTTACATGTCCATCTAAATATCTGGGACTTAAGACATAACCGACTGTGTTTACAAGGATATTTTGATAAAGGATATTTTTGTGTGTATTTGTCCTTTCAAATTCAAAAAGACACACCCACACAGCAATTGTTTTCTGGCCCAGCTCCGGTCCACACAACCAGTTTTCCCTTGTCCCACAAAGAAGGACGGCCCTGGAGTGGCCCTAATCTGATTTAAAGACAGGGGCCATGTTACGTCCCAGGTCTAGGGTCTAGGAGAATAACATAAATAAAGATCTTTACACTGGGGTGTTGTGATCTTTCGTTCTTTATTTATTTATTTTTTTATTTTTCCAAGTCAAGTTTAATGGCAATAAAATAGCACACAAAAATAGGAAGCAAGTGAACTTCAGGGTTGGGCCAAGGACAAAATAATAAACAAAAAATTAAAACTACTGTTTCCCAAATAATCTTAATACCCTAGAAAGAAAAAAAGTTCAAACAAAAATTCAGGGTCTGAACTAACTCCCTGGCTAACCGAAAAACAGGAGAAAATGAATAGATTACAGAAAGAAATGACACCCAACCCCTACCCGCTTGTTAAGTCTGACGTCACGTGTCACCGCTTCCGTGTCCAAAAGTTAAATTAGGGCGGGCCATCTGTGAGAACGACAGAGAGAGAGAGAGAGAGCAAGAAAGAGAGAGAGAGATGCATAGACACCACATACATCTCAACGTAACAGGCCACACATGGGCCATAACTGGGCCAGGTCTCAGCCAGTTAATAACTTATAACTGGCCCTGAAGTGGGCCAGAGCAGGTTTCATTATTGGTACAGATTCTCAGCCATAAGCAAACCACATCAACACCAGCCTTTAACCAGAAACCCCAAAACTAAGCCATACCCCAGCCTAATCTTGTCCGAATCGTGTGTATAAATAAGTCACGAGAAAATGTAAATCTGAAAATGACTTTATTTAACAGTCATACACAAATACACAATTGTTTATATTAGAACAAAAGTATTAGCATGTGAACACTTTCTACATTTAAAGCTGCAGTCCGTAAGTTTTGCCTCTTTGTCGCCATCTCTGTTTGAAAACCTGCAATTGCAGCTATTTGCGAAAATATGTTCCTTGTGTGGGTTGTGCACCGGCACGGCTCCAGCGTGGATGAATCTAAGGGTGTGTTCACACTTGTCATGTTTGGTTCGATTAAAATTAACTTTGGCAAGAAATTACAAACAATAATATTAATTAAATTCAACAACTATTAAGAACTGAGTTACAATTAATCAAACTTGCTCCTTAAAAATTAGCCATTCAAATTCAGTTGATGCAAATAGCAAATTTAAACAAAAAAATGTTTTTCATCAGAGCACTATGTTAATGAATACTACTTAATTACTCATTTCGATCTCGATTTTAATTTAGTGGGTTGGGTTTTAGATGTTTTAAGTGACAGAACTCGAGTGAGAGTCAATGGTACTTTCTCAGCCCCCTTGACAACATCTACAGCGGGGGTCACCAAACCTGGAGGGCCGGTGTCCTGTAGAGTTTAACTCTGACCCCAATCAAACACACCAGCTAATCAAGCTCTTGCTTGGTATTCTTGAAACTTCAAGGCAGGCGTGTTGAGGCACGTTGGAGCTAAACTCTGCAGGACAGTGGCCCTCCAGGACCGAGTTTGGTGACCCCTGATCTACAGGAACTCCTCAAGGCTGTGTTTTGTCTCCATTATTAGGCTATATATGTCATATACAGATGGTTGTATAAGTAATAAATTAAGATCATTCAGATAGGACATTGATGGAATTGTTCTGTAAGTTGTTCTGTAAGTTTTCTATTAGCTGCTGTTTTGGAAATCTCGGTGTGAAACATAAAAATGCATGAAATAGAATAGTTACTCTTAGTGGGAAGATCATAGGTAAAGAACAAAGAAGTTTGTCACTTTTGTTCAACAGAAATATATTAAGTCTGGCTCGATCTGTGCTCTTGGACAGTGACCATGTTTTTGTATCCAGAGTTCTCCATGCTGCCTTCAGGTTCCTGTTATAGACTAGGCTACGAAAGATGAAAAGTAACCGATATAAATGTGTTTGTCCCCTGCGCAATTCGGTTGTTAAATGGTTCTAACAGAATTTTTTAGGGAAATGTACTTTATGTGTGTTAAACAGTTCTCATAAAGGTTATAAAGCTCTTATACATTTTTTGAAAATAACAAATTTATATAATAAAATATAGGTAGAAGGTATTTTTTTTTTTTTTTTTTTTTTGTTTTTTTTTGTTTTGTTTGTTTGTTTGTTTGTTTGTTTTTTTAAGGAATGTTTTGTATGGGTCTGTTGAATTTCTGTTTCACTGCATCCAAATTGGCCACAAGGGATCTCAATAAACCTTGACCTTGACCTAAACAGTACAGAAATGACACCTTAAAATTTCGCCTAAACTATATAAAGTGTTTCATATTTGTTTAAATATGAGAAATACCGTGAACTGCTGAACTCTCCTCAGAAGACTCTACTGTTGGTTATTATTGTCGCTTTGTCGCTGAGTGTTTGAATAAAGATCTGGCTCCACCTGTTGGACGCTCCTCAGAACTTTTTTTTTTTTTTTTACTTCTATTTTTCATTTACTGTTCTTTATTGTTGCTACATTTTATTTGCACAAACATAGTACCACATCTCGGGCAGATTGTGCTTGTTAAAATTGAAATATAGAACTTCTAAACACTTTATTTTCCCTGTAATGAGTAATGAACAATTTCAGATCTATTCATGAATGTGAATATAGATAAATAATGAAGTTTGACACAAGAAAATGTTAAATATTGTTCAGTTTCTGTAGCCTACATAAAAAAAATTAAAAACCGCCCAATCTGGCAACACTGAGTGCAAGTGCAAGTCTGCAGCCAGACCCTTCTCGTTAATAAAAAATGAAAAACATGGGTATCTCAGGAAGAATGTACAACTGGGTATTAGACTTTTTATTTGACCGGACAATTCAGATTAGAGTGGGAACATCATACTCTAGGGTTTATGCAGTTGAAAATGGGACTCCACAAGGAAGTGTATGTAGTCCCCTTCTATTTAATATAATGATCAATGATATATTTAATGAGGTGGAAAAAGGAATGAGGAAGTCAATATATGCAGATGATGGTGCACTTTGGAAAAGAGGTAGAAATATAACTTATACTGTTAAGAAAGTTCAGCAGGCAGTAAATAAAGTTGAAGAGTGGGCAAAGAAGTGTGGCTTTCGAATATCTGTAGAGAAAACACAGGTAATATGTTTCACAAAGAAGAGAAATGTTCACATTAAGTTATCTCTTTATGGAAAACAATTGGAGCAGGTATCAGTGGTAAGGTTTCTTGGAGTGTGGTTAGATGAGAAAATGAACTTTAATATACATGTAAAAAAATCATTGACTAAATGTAAGAAAACACTGAATGTTATGAGATGTTTAGCGGGTAGTGAATGGGGGGCTAGCCGTAGTTCTCTCAGAAACATATATCTGGCAGTTATTAGGTCGGCAATTGATTATGGATGTATGGCATACGGATCAGCAAGCCAGCATGTACTGGGAAAAAATTGACAAGGTGCAGACACAAGCTTTGAGAATATGCTGCGGAGCATTTAGAACATCACCCAAAGCTGCACTGCAGGTAGAAATGGGTGAAATGCCATTAGAAGAACGACGTATGCAATTAAAAAGGGTTTACTGGGTATCTTTAAAAGGCCACAATAGTAAACATCCAACTAAGGTGATTTTTGAAGAATGCTGGGACCATGAGAGAACAAATATTGCAAAAAAAGGCCTCTAACACTAGCTTGCTCTATTCTTTTTCTATTCTATCTGTTTTCGTTTTATTTATTATATTATTTAAAAAAAAACCTTGCTACATGTACTGCGTTAAGCTAACTGAGACTTGTTATAGCACTTGCGTATCATTGCTCTTTTGTTGATTTTGATTGCTTCCATTGTCCTCATTTGTAAGTCGCTTTGGATAAAAGCGTCTGCTAAATGACTAAATGTAAATGTAAAAAGCATTGTTTGGATAGCAGAAGAAATGGCACAGACAATGGATTTAGTAAATAGGAAATATAGTGATGCAGTGCCTATATTATTTAAAATGCCTGCAATAGACCTGTATCTACTAGAAGTGGAAAAATCAAATAGTGGTGCAATTAATGAAGTAAATCATTATATTGAACGGTTATACTATGAC